CATCAATAAATTACAATAATTGTCTTTGTCTAAAACCTCTACACTGGTTTGTTCCTCTACGAAATTTTCACGTCGTGAAGATCTCGCTCGGGTCTTTCGATGGTATAATCAACTAAAAATTTTCCGCTAAATATAAACTACGCTGTGTCTTCATGGCGCGTTTTGTATGTTTTTCCACTATTATAATGCTGTTATATTTACACGCTGTACAAGTATCTGACAACACAACAGGTAGGCGTATAATAAACGGAAAATTCCAGAAGAGCACTCGTTGTAACAATAAGATTGGTTTTGTCTAACTTGGTGTACGGCGCACCGTGCAAGACGTGTGTTAGCACGATATATGTTTAGCTAATTAAGAACACATTAAAAATTCGAGAAGATTTTACTATTATCACGTCAGCTTCAGTATAGCCCTCTCATCGATTTGCCCCATAAATATTACTTCGCCGATCTCGATGACGACGAGCACTGCGGACGTACTTAAGAATAGGATAAATCGGTTTTAGACCTTTTGTAGTGGATACGGGTGCGGCGGTCTTGATTGCATAGCGATGCATTTGATCTATGCCGAGTATTATAACGGTAATAGTTTGTAGTATGGCTAACTTATTGAGACCTGTCTTCACGCGGTCTTCAACGAGGTTGCTTTATTCTGTACTCACCAAAAAATAGGCGTCGCGAACTGTTGCCCAATCAACGAACTACCGTAACTTCGTTTCTTCAGCTAATTTGGTTTAATTCATTGTATTCATGTTAACTAACGTATCTCACGCATGCTCACAATTATAATAATGATGTGTCGTACAAACCTCACACCCAGTTTACCATTTATCTGTTTACGGTAGTACTAGCTGTTGCGCAGCTTCGATGCAGCCGAGATCATCTGAGAGGTGAAGAATATATGCAATGAATCATTACATGTGACTTTTCAGTAACTTCATTTGAACCTTCTCAAGATGTCGCACGCATAATAGGCAGTTTAGCACCGCAATCGTGTGCATGGACACGGTTAACAACTCACACGCGGTCTTTAGACGGCAGTATTAGGGTATAGCGAGAAAAATAACTACGCTAAATTCGACAAGTACTACTTCTTCTTCTTCCCTTAACCCATCGACTGATATAGCTGGGGTCGGCAGCGACCTGGTCGAGCGCGACAGGGCAACGTTGTGGGTTACAGGTGTGAAATGGGAGAATTTCACTGAATCATCATGGCCATCGTACAGCTAAGAATCATCCCAATCAGTAGAAGCGCTGCTGCCCCAATACCGACACCGGCGACTGTGCGCGCATGATCTTCCACGAAGTCGCGCACTCGAGTGTGGCAATTCTGAAACGGAGCGAGAAAATCAAATCTGAAGATCAGCTATTTGTGAACGGAGCACGGTCAGTGTCTACACAATGTAACGACTTCTTCTTTTAGCCAGAACTTTTAAACTTCAAGAAGCTAAAACTTTTTCCTGAACAGTTGAATTTATACGACCTGGATCTTCGCCTATTAGCCACAATAGCAAATGGTACAATAATTTCCATAAATGCTAGCTGATTGCGGCCAAACTCTACATCAATTGTTCTCTGATATCGATAATAATAATAATAATAATAGATAAAAATGCTCGTGTCCTGCTGGAAATTTCGGTTTACCGAATCACTATGATTCGTTTATTTTTCCAAGCGACTAAATCATATAGTGTCGAACAGCCCCGTTGTGATTTTATCCTTAGGCGGACGTTTGTCACACAGAAAAATCACTCGATATCCCACATCCTCCGAGTTCTTCCGTATCTACGAACAGCCCACAGATGAAGTTAACTCATCGATTGTTATCACTCTAAATATAACTCTGCTCAATCGAGCTATCTCTTTTTTGTTCTGTTCCCTTTGGTTATAGTGGCCGAACAGCATTGAACGCTGGACTAATACAATACTTTCGTTGAGATTATAGGCTTATTTGACTAGTTTTTATTTAGGTAAGCAGCCGGCTTGTAACTTCTAGTACGATGCTGGCAATCAAGTTTTTTTTCACACCCACTTACATTCCCGTTTATCCTCTATAATTTTCTGTTCTCAGTAAACGTCTATTAGCTGACGCGGAAAATACAAATCGCTAAACGCTAGTGTTAGTGGCCGGGGTGCTGCCGCTGGCAATTGTAGTGAGCTACGCCGGGAGTGGCGACAACGGCAATAGTGAGAATGCCAACAGTAAAAAAAAGCACGACGTCGACTGCGGCGGCGGCGGCAGCGGCGGCGGCAGCGGCGGCGGCGGCGACACTCGTAGTGGTATCCGGTCTACCGCAGATATTTGTTGTCTCCTATTTTTGTCTCGCAGCTGTCTGTGCATGTATATGTACGTGTGTGCAGCGTCGATGTCTGCAAGCATATCCTGTTCGTTGTCATGCCTCCGTAGACTGTTGCCGCTTAACCAATGTTTTCCTGAGTGGCTATAGTTGGTAAACGTTGACGCTGGCTCTTACCTGCGCACCGTTTTACAATAGCCTTGACAGTTCCCTGTAAAATGTGTTTTAAATTTAGAAACTTCAGTTTTATTAGCAACAATTCACCACCATTTTACCATTATTTCGCACGCTCACAGAACCAGTCACAATCCGCAACAAGAAGCGGCCGCTGCTGTAATAGTGACAATAACAATAGTTAATCGTATCTTGTAACGGCTAGCGTACGTAGCGACTTCAGTTCCGCTCTTTGTAATGTCTACCTGACTTTCGTGCCACTTGCTGAAGTTGTGCGGCAGTAGGTAGATTTTATAAACGTTCTACTATAACTGCCACTCATACACATACATATATATTTATAAATATTCCTTGATAGCCATTTCGACTGGGCCGAAGATTACGTACGTACGTACGTACGTACGTACGAACGAACGAACGGCTAAAACCATATCTCACAAATAATAGGAACACCAACTGAAAAACATACTGTACTTCATGGTTATGATTTTTTTTTTCAGAAGAAAGAAAATTTTTCGGCGTCGTTGCCTTCCACGTTAACAACACGTCCCAGAGGCAGGTATACCTGTATAAGAGGACCGTCAGCCGTTTCAAAACACTAGCGCGATGGCACACTTTTTATCTAGAATTCACACGCGTCGCGGAAACATTGAGGCTGCGATTGTCTTCTACGGAACTATCACAAAAGGGCTTCCTTTGGCCTACATTCGTCCGCACTCGTTGCTACCCCGCGGAGTAGATCGACAGCCGTCGCAACACTCTTTAAACCAAGCTAACACACAAATTTCCGTTAATGAGATAGTAGTTAGACCGAGTACCATCTACAAAATGAGTTGTCAAATGTGGTTAGGTTAAATGAGAAGGCTCGAGTTCGTGATGGTTCCTATTTTTGCAGCCAATTACTGATCAGTCCATGCTATCCTGAGAATATTATAGAATGATATCCATCGATGATGCCGTGTATGAGTAAGCCCGTTTCAATAGACTGATGCAGTAACTTGCGCGTGAAGACCGATTGGCGAAAGCTCTCTCGTGATCAAAATACTGGCAGTGGTAGGTTAGATAACGATTTACTACGTGAGAGAATAGTTTGCAGAATCTTCAACCGCGGAAGCGACGCATCCGTGACGAAAATTGCCCATTGCAAAATGGAACTGATCGTATCAGCAGAAAACGAAAAACGTAAAATTGCGGCTTGGTATATAATAGCTTATGAGTAAAAGCTGTCAATCTAAGTTCAGCGTGAGTTTGAGCCGCAATATTTCGGAACTATTACATTGCGCTTCTGCACACTGATTCGTGCACTCTGCATTTTACATGATAAACATGTACAAACATAGGCAACCGGCGTCGACAAGAACATTGCCGAAAAATCGTCTAACAAGCCAAGTCGGTAACAATATGAGACAACGACAAAGATCGTTGTTTCGGTGTGAGAAAGGCTGAAGTTTCACGCATTTAATCGCTTACAATTGGCATTTTTTGTTTCAACGACAATGAAAAAAGGTCCTCGTTATTTCTCAATCATAGGTACACCCTTATATAAATACATTAAGTAGATTTTTGCAAACACTCACTGCCTGCTATTAGTACAAGTGTCGCCATTATAATATGATATGAAAAAATATTATTTCTGGTCTATTATTTTGTAGCGATCTACGGTCGCTTTCACTACGGCTGTTGAAGGCATCGTAGCAGACGAATTCGCTTGCGCACTTCGTCGTCGCCAGCGATAATTCGAGAGACAAGTTCCCGAAGCGTAACAACAAGCGTCGTCCCAAGGTAAATGTCCTTCCTATTCTTGTAATTTATATTTTTTCACACGTCTCTGCTAGGACGTAACGCTTGGCTAACGCTTAACATTCCACCGGTGGATGTACCCTATATATTGTATACTGGTCAAAGCCTAGTAGAAACAACCGTTGCGGTAGGCGAAAGCGAATCCCGCACGCACACAATGGCGCACACAGATAGCGCTAGCTATTCTCCCTCGCCTCATAGAAACATCACAGAGCAAATACTCTAATGTTTGCCTAGGAAACATTTGCGCTCACGCTTGTGTGACAATGAAATTACATATGATAAATAAGTAGGCGCATGAGCGGTTGCTTTTACGCGCTATTCTAGATACGTACTTAGCGTTAGCGGAGTCAGTGCATCGGACAGTGCGAGGGAACAGGACTTACGGTAGGCCGTACCGCTTCTATCTTTTTCCTCTTTCCCGACGCTAGTAATGCGGATGACGGGGGCCAATTTGGATACGCGACACAGAACTTTGCTACGCACGAAAGTCGTTCGGCTTCAGCGACAGCCGTTGCTACGGCTGTGGCTGCTGGGACGACCTGAACCACTGTTAGCAAATGCCGTTAGAGCTTTCGATACATTTATTACATTAGCTAGCCGTTGTTAGACGAAAAATAATTTCATACAAATATAGTCGTACGTTCGTGCTCACAACAGCAGCAGTAACGAAAACAGCAATACGTCTTTCCATCTTTTTTATCAGTAAAACTACAAGGCAGCCCTTGTAGCACGGGTGGCTTGCTGTTTTATACCCTCGTCTCCCCAGGCTCTCTTCGCCCCACGCGTTCCTCCCCCGGTCCTGTTCTGCGTATGCTGATTGTTTCTTGGAGAATAGTATTAATAAATGTTTATATACCCGGTGCGCGCACGTATTATAGAAGGCGGCGTAGCCTGAGTAAACAAACGGCGAAGTAGCGTGCTATAGTTGACGATCGTTTCTATCCTGGCAACTATCTGTCTTTATCTCGGTGTCCGCGTAGAATACTGACTTGAAGCAAATAGTACAAAACTAGAACGAGAAAAACAACTGAGCCGATGCCTGCAAAAGGCCTCACTAATAAACAGTAACTTACTTCATTCTTGCAGCTATAAATCTGTTCACACGTGGCGTTACAGTTTTAATTCGACGCAGCCCCACTGCTCACTAGTGTCCTTGTTTAGCTTTTATCAGGACCAGATCTGGCCCTTACCTCTTCCCGTTACGTTGTCGCCGCCGCAGCCGCAAATGTAGGACTATAACTTTTATTAATATGACACATCAGTTTGGTTTGATCGAATGATTCGCTCAATAAGATATCCGATATTGACATCATATATCAAGATATATCACAGTCAAATATAAACATATTATTCTTCTGGTAGGATCGATTGAGATCTAAAGTAACATGAAATATATTTAGATCAAGCACCATATAGTCACCATTTGGCCAAATGTCGTAATCAGAGATCATCCAATGGATGACGCTTCAGGGACGCAGGTCAGCCTGCCGCTGATTTCCATCGTACTCATAACTAAATACAGTCAACGGTATTATTACTATTGCTGACGGGGTTCGATTTACTTACTTTGAGAGTGGAACGGATTGAATATCCATATGCATGGTGCATATGGATATTTAGTTACTGAGCAATATATGGCACTTTGTATTATATAATTTGTTTGGGTATTATGCTAGCAATGGCAGTGCGTATGTGCTCGTTTGTGTCTGTATGTACATTGCAAAGAAGTTAGCTTTCCTAGCCCGCTCGAACTCATTGTTCGCTACTGAACGGTCACGGGGCCCTAAACACAGGACAGAAGAGCAGCGAAATAACCGTGATCATGATGAGATCGGTGGTCTGAAGTAGCGACGGGTCTTTTACTGTCATTTTGAAAGTCAATGGAATGGTTGGCCGCGAAGCTCTTACAGTTTGCTTGTTCCTCATTTTTTCGATTTCAGCTCGAATCGCTCACTGTGCCAGCTATTCCCTTCTGCTGGTGTGTGTGTGTGTGTGTTCGCGTTCGTTCCCATTGTATTGCATTCAATAGCTATCCGATCCGAGGTTCAGGTCATTG